TGTCACCCCACCCACTAGAATGAGTTTTGATGTCGCCAACTGGGGTGGGTTCTTGTTCAGAGTTGGTTGCAGTTGTTTGTAAAATTCCCCCTTCTCTTCATCTGCATTATTTATGGGTGCATAGCTTAGCATTGTCTGATTATGACTTTCCTTTCTTTTGAGTTGAAGCTTGCTGTCATGATCCTGATCCTGAAGGAAGAGATTGGTTCTTACTGCTTGAGAGCCTTTGATGCTCTTGGGGACATCGTGATAGCCACTCGAAAACTCAGCTTGCTCGTGGTTGTCATCTGGGTGACAATATCGGAGTAGATTATTGACTCCTCTCCTCTTGCATTCCATCTGCAGATTTCTTGCAGATTCCTACCACTTCTGTGCTATACCTTCTTGTCTCTTTTACACTCTTAGCAGCCTTGCTAGGTTCACACATGGTGTGAACATTCCATGTCCGCATTATTACTTTCGATTTCATCGAGAGATGGGAGGACACATCAGCCAATTGGCTTCGCGAAGGCTTTCACCAATCAGCGTCATTTCGTCTCTCTGATTCCAGCGAGGAATAAGTTTGTTTTTATTTTTAATATTTTATTTGTGCTTTGAAGTTTTTTTAGCGATTGGATTGGTTTTACGGGGTAGGGTTGCTAGTCCTATGGCCAACCTTTCCTCTTTGTCTGGGCTTAGGACCGGCTAGTAACTAGTGAACTAGTTAACCAGGAGAGGTTTCTCAGAATTATGAATATACGTTGTTCCGAAACTTGGGGCGCGCTCCCTACACTTTGTGAACTTTGGGCGCATTGCATACAATTTGGGTGCACTTTGGAACTTTTGACAGTTTTGGGGAAAATGTTTGGGAACTTCGGGGAATATCGTGTTTCTCAGCATTTACACCCGAAGTAAAATTTTCGTGTTTTTGCCCGAAACTTACAATTTGCACCCGAAGCTAATGCTGGTTGGGAATGTACTCAGTACCTGGTCTCTGAAGTAGATCCACATCTTTCTCTATCCAAGCTTCTGTGGCGGCAAGCTGGTGAGGACTTTCCCAATATATCCTTATAATACTAAAACATTATGTACGTTGCAATATATCTTGGAAAAATGAGCTTCCAAACGTAATTGGAGCGAAGCTGACAATGCGGAGTGCAGTACTTAAGATTTATTGGTTTCTATGGCTGGTTTTCATTTAGGTTCCATACGACATTGAACTGTGTATAAAGTTCCTTGATATCACAGTAAGTGCACTTGGATGATGATTTCCCACTGGTTCGTAACTGAAGAGTGTGCGGACGTGACTTCACTTCCAGTGTATGCTTCTCTTGAAATACCACTAGTAAGAACCTTGAACGTCATATTTTAAGCCAGAATCAAGATACTGGTGCGATAGGTTATATCCTTGAAAAAACAAAATCAGTTGAAAAGACATGGCGGTAATACATGCATTTATTTTAATCTCCATACTGCACTGCTTGTCTTTATGTATTTTTCCAATCAAGTGAAAAAGTGCATAACCATTTCCATATCTTCGTATAATAAATTTTCCCACTTTTCTGCTTCTTCGACGTTTACTGTTAATTGATAGTTCTTCCTGAAAGACTTATTTACACTCATATAACCACCATTAGCACCAGCACGTTTTCTGTGAAAACTCACGCATCTTACAAAATTTAGTATGAAACCCGATTGGCGAAGTTTTTCACATAGTTCCGTGCTTATAAATGATCCATCTCATTTTCAAGCGGATCTTCAACAGTTCAAGCTCAGTCTATTTAGTAGGATCTTTCTGTATTGTCTGTTTTATGAATTTCTTTTCATTGGATAGAATTAGTGAAAGTTTATCGGTATAGTTTGCTTTATTTTGTTACACTATTTCAAGACCTTTGCTTCAGCATATCATGACCGCATGTTCGTTTTTCTGTAATTCACTCGATTGATTCTGACGCTTTTTGAGAAAAAACATCGACCGTTGAGTTTTTTATTTATATGGCGACAACATTTGGAACAGTTGGTTTGAAATGATCCGAATCATCACATAAAGCTGGAACGAGATCTTTTCCGATTTGTTAAATTTCCGAACTAGTCTTTTACATTGAGCTCATTGACTTTCGGAGTTATCATAAGATTTCATCATCATCAGTATCAGGAAAAAAACCGTGTATTACTACATAACGGTTCAAGTTGCCACACGTCATATCAGCACATCACACAGCTTGCAATACGATGAAAAACAAAGAAATAGAGAAGAATTGGTCAGGAACAGTTGAAAGCAGTAAAAGAGAGGGCCAAATGAGAAAACACTGAATTCAGTATGACGACTAAAATGAAAATAATTTGCAGATACATCTGTTCCACTGAGTTAAATTCTAATCCATATCATCTGGAGTCTAACATCTGAGTTCGGTTGTCGTGAGGACCGCAACTGGGAAGTCGGTATTCCTGTACACATCTTGGGCCAACTGTCAGACATTTCATGCAATGATGCCATGTTTCTGTCTGACTGCCTCTAAACTTTTCTAAACCTGACCCTACTTCAACTAACATTGTGCGACGGGGTAGATGGTGACTACGTATGTGTAACACATGTCCCATCTGAGTCTATGACAGTTATTGTTATTATTGCTAAGTAGCACCACTTTTAATAGGTGTTTGAAGAATGTTGTACAATGATTAGTCTTATGCAATATTACTTGCTGAAAAGTGTATTGTAAACAAAATTATGGTTCGGCATGAATCAGATATATTATTATTATCATCGTTATTATTGTAGTTCCATTTGCAAGACGCTTAACTAAGCTTCTTTTATAGTGAATGGACACATGGCTAAAGCAATGTGCGTACTAATGTAATCTTTCTGTGCACCCTTCTGCTCAGTGATCCATCGTCACTTCTAATCAATGGGACATCTAAGAAATGTGATATATTTTCATGTTCCTATTCTCATTATGGAGCTGTGGCTCAATAGTTTAGGGAGATAACTATCAACCATTAAGTAGCGAGTTCGAGCCCCGCCTCATCTACCTAGGTTCGGGCAGCCAAGTAGTATTACTAGCCCTCACACAATAGGTGTAGCTCATTGCCTGCTGCACAGTTGTGCACAAGGTGGCCGAGTGTGTCTCCTTTCATTTCAAGTGAAAGTGGGAGAAGGATGTGCATCAATGTATTTTCTTAACAGTTCGTTTTTGTCAGCATTTCGGTCAAGGATAATGAGTGTGTCATCAATATATCGTTTGTATATCTTGGATAAGCCCTGTAACTGTAGTGTGCAACACCCTGTGGGTTCAAGTGGGTCGTACGTAGTAGCAGAAATTATACCATCTCGTCTTATTTCTTGAATGTTGATTAATAGTTTCTCAGCCTTTCCGTTTAAATCTATAGCGTCACAGTTTTTGACACTTCGTCTAGCCATTCAGTAGGGAGTTCATTTCATCACTATATTCTCCTTTGTTTATTAGCACTTCACTGGCTCCCTTATCTGGTTTACCTATCATCAGGTTTCTAGTGTTTTTGATGTTTAGTCAAACCTTTAGCAGAACAAATATTGTTTGTGTATTGTTGGCAGCTATCGACTAATGTAGCTTTGAATCTAGAAAGTTCGTCCTCTGATGATGGAATCAAGTTATTTCTTTGTGAAAATTATTTTCCAAACAACGCATTTAGATAGATTCAGTTGGTATTGTGTTTAAAGTCACAAAATTTAGGTCCAAGCGATAAAATTTATCTTTGAATTCGTATCTACTTATACACTCGAAAAATTGTAAACACACATTAGAGTCTGAAGGGAATTTCCTTCTTAGCCTTCTGTTTCCTAACGACTCTACTAGTCTCAAACTTCTTTTTCGGCTGTTTTCGAAAAGATTGCAGTTGCATACTGAAGAAAACTAAATAATTCCTGCTATATATCGACAAAAATTTCCTCTCTGATGAATTCTTTTTCAAATCGAAGATATGTAATTTTTGGAGTCTATTTGATCAACAGCATGTGGTTTTAGTGTTGTAGAACTAGTATAAACCTTGTTACGACGTAAAGACTTCCAATTCATTTTCGGTTATTGTTAGTTTTGTATGTATTATTGAATAAGTTTCAGATTTCCGCTTCGGTGAGTCTTGGATTGCACTTCAGGAACTGAGTGAGTGCCTTCAGTGCCGTGGGATTCCCACGTGATTCAAAAATGTTAAAGATTTCACAAAGACTTAACTAGGCAATTAAAAAACATGTTGCCGAATACCTATCCTCGTGGTTTAAGAGTGAACACTTAACAGCATTGCGAAGTTCAGTTCTTTCGCATTCGGCTGATAGTGATAGGATAGCAGATGAGAACAAGATATTCAAAATCATCTGTCGCATTCCATAAAAATTTTTCTTATTTAGCCTTGCAGCACCAGGCATAAGGCGAGTTTATTCCCGAGCATGTAGTTCTGCTGGGGGATTAAAAAGACTCTAATACATCAACTTTCAATTTGCTTAAAGAAGAAGGTAAAGAAACCAGGAAAGGTTATTATGTTGTCTGCTGGGACTCTCAACAGCAGTGTACTAAAACTGTAAGTGATATTTGCCGCAAGTATGCGTGTTGTGGTGATTTGAATGCGATTAGTAATAAATCTCGTTGTATCATACGATGAGTGCAATTAAACTGACTTGATCAGATTTACTTCCTAACAATGAAATAATAACATACAGTAGGTTTTTCTCATTGATCCAACGCGTTTAACGCATGGCCTATGCATGTTCATAATGTCGTCAAGCTTCTTGTCGAAGCTACACTTTTATTCTAGTAAAAGGAGAGAATTATAGAACTGATGCAACAATTCTATCACATTTCTGAATATCTGTTGATCAAAATGATTCTGTTACCCGTATAATTTTGGTAAGTATTTGAACAGGTAATTATTGCAAGTGTTTCGGGCATGCTAGCTAAGTCTACCTTGTGAAACGTGTTCAATATTATTCTTAATGAATTTTCTATGTATTTCAGGTTTTTCATCAATGTCTGGATGTTACTTAGTGAACTATGTTGAACGAATTGTGGAAGAAATATATCATCAAGATAAAATGTGAGATCTTTTTTTCAGTTAGTGATATTTTGTCTTTTTATCTTGTATCTCACACATTGCGCTACTTTGTCTGTATTTTCACCTATATATGTTAAGCTTAACACTGATGCACCTTTTGTGACTGCTAAGCCCTGATATTGACTTCTACTGTTTAACCATCTGTTATGGATCGTAACTGTCCTGTGTACATGGCTACAGATGGAGCCTAAACGCCCACCCTAACAACCACTGAAGTAACCAATCAGGCCTCTACTTCACCTGTTATGGCAGTTTCTTCATTACACAAATAAACCTAATTGGTCATTCCAGTAGTTGTCAGGATGGCCTCTAAATTCGTTCATCGGGCCGTACCAACTTGATTTTCTAGTCTTGACAACCTAAACTACTAACTGAGACCAAAGGATGAACAAACCGCAGTGAATTTATTCTCCCTTAGAGCACTCAACCCCGTTATGATTGTGTGATATCTGTGCTTGACTTTAAAAGCCACCCCAGAAACTGCTGAGATAACCAATTACGTGTAAAACTACCTTTCTAGTCGAAATACAAAAACCTGATTGGCTATTTCAGCAGTTGGCTGGGGTGACCTTTGAAGTGACTCGATATCTATGGCATTTTAAAAAGTAGTCATTAAAATGATCTAAAATGATCAGGTTATTGAGTCCATTTATTGTACCAATGATACAAATTGAATGATATTTATTACAGTTAAATAAACTTCCCAGCTATAAAAGTAATGCAAATGAATAGGTGGTAAGTTTTCTAGACGATAATCGTGTGTTTTAACAACTGTTTTTGTGTGCTAACCTTTCATCTCACCCAGAATACGGTATGTAATTTCTTCTGGACGATTACTTTATCTTCGAAGTTTACCAGTAGTAAACATCATATTAGAAACAAGTGTTAAACACTTTTATGCTACTGTATTAAGGAGAAATACGAAGTATTTTTCTCATTCCACTTTTCACACGAGTAAAAAGTCGTATCTATACTCCATTCATCCTTCAACTGAATACTCGTTGATTCTTTGACATGATATGGCGAAGATGAACAGGATTAGTTTCCTTGTTAGTAGCTGATAAATTAAATGGTTTTGTGAGTTACCCTCCTGAGTAAGTACTGGAGGTATGCATTTACGAAACTCCATCACTGTAATTGGTTGTGGCTCGTCGAAGTTGGAAAAGCTGTTCCAGCAGGTTCGCTAACAAAGGCTTTTAAGTATCGACGTATGAAACTACTGAGTGGAGTAATGGGAGTGCTAGGGTGTACGAGGGAATCACTGGTAGTTTTGTCATATTGGTCCAGTCTGAAGGGGAAGTAGTCATCCTGTGATGATATTAATAAGAGGATAAGTTTGACTAACATCGTTTCCAAGATTGTATGGCTCATAGTTATCCGATGCGCAACCAGAACCCAAGAACAACAAACTCAAAAATACCAGGCAGGTTTGAGACCTAGATGAGGGTGCATTGATTGAATTTTACCTCTTCAACAGGTTCTAAAAAACAGGCATCCTTACTGGTGGCCGACACCCGCCATATTTCGTTACCGGGAGGGGGAGCCGTGGCTCTATGGTTTAGGGAGATCACTATGAACCAGTGGGTCATGGGTCTGAATCCCGCTCCACCTACAGACATTTATGCAGTGACGCAGTACCACTGGCTCATTGCCTACTACGCAAATGCACACAAGGTTACCGAGTACGTTTTGCGTGCGAGTCTGGAGGCGGCGTTTGATTTTGTCGACCGTTGAAGTTTTGTGTCAGTGTCTAACTCTTAATGAAGTACCAAGCAAGTCTTTTATGCTAATCAACTTAAGCAACCACGCAAAGGCTTATGGGAGGCTTTTTTCCGAAGTGATGAAAAACATTTGTGTCCAACAAGGATGCCCGCAGTCATTATTCCCGTTACAGACACAAATTGACAAAATCAACGTAGAACCTCGCACACAAGTGCATTGCCTCAAGTCGCCACACTTCACAGTAATGCACAAAGAACAGGTGGATAAAAAAAATAGTGATATCAAAGTGGACAAAGTTGTGAGGGAATAAACAAGCTGAAGATAACAGTCAGTGCAAATATTCAAGCTTTAAGAGATGTCAAGGAGTGAATACATCTGCGTCATTGAGACTGATTTTCAGCCATGTCACCAAGCGTCTTCAACTACTCATTCCTTTCTTCTCGGGGGCCCCAACTAGGCAGTCCACAACGCCTCGCATGACGCGGCCCAACAGTCAGACTTTATCGACTGATGCCAGGTTTTGGTCTGGCCAATCTAACCTTTCTTCCCCTAGCTTGGCACGTCGAGTTAGGTGGTGGCTCGGCATGCACAGTACATGCCCAAGCCATCTCAGTCGACTAAGGTTCACAGACTCACCAATCGAATTGGCTCTGTTGTTTATTACCCTTCGCCTGACGTCGACAATGCTCACGCGGTGATTCCACCAAACGGTATTATCTGTGATGAAAACCTTGTAATCGCTTCATGTCTGCTACTTCACACGTCCATGTCTCAGCCGTACAACAGGACGGAACTGACTGCACCACGGTGTACTCGTTCTTTGATAGATAGTTGAAAATCTTGCCATGTGCCGCCACAGATGATGCAAGTTGGCAAATGCCAAACGGACCTTCTGTATCCGAGGTGAGACTTCGTCGGTAACCAGCCCATTTAAGATGGTGCAACTTCCAAAGTTAGGGAAGTGATCGACACACTTCTGGTCGTCCAGGGGAAACACCCTTGTCTAATTGGCAGTATGATTTCGGCTTCATCATAGTGTAGTAATTTACACTACAACGATAACTAGTTCTCGTCTCACCACTATCCAACAGACCTTTCTGGCATGGTAGGACCTCAAAGGAACAAGCGTTCTACCAGCATAGCTCATTGGGTCATTGTGATATGCAAGTCCGACTACCATGTTAAGGTAGCAGCTATCGGTCAGGTCTGAGCCCTGTAGAGAAGTATAAACTGCCCAGTTGGGTTTCTCGAAATAATAGGAATCAATAGTACAAGACCTTTGGCGACTTAATGAGTATTGGTTACAGTGGTGCTGATGTATCTAATCTTTGACATGTTCTAAAGCTTCAAGACGCTCCCTAGTCTTGGTCTTCAAATTCTTTTTCTTCCGTACACTTTCGTCTGATTTAATGTCACTCTTTTTCTATCTACTTATTTTTTGTATGTTGCTATGTGAAGTACGGCAGCTTGAATCGATGCACTTCAGTGCTAGGTTTTAAGTTTATTTATCTGTCTGCACTAAAGGTTTGTGAACTCGGTATATTATTACTCTAGATCTTACAGCCAATGCTTCTGTAAATAAAACTAGTTCGTCAGTTAGCGTCGAGTCTGGAAGTGAGTTTACTACATATTCAGTGGTAATGACTGTTTTTATGATAAGCTAGCTAGCTATCCGGGGGTAATGAATTGCTTAAATTCACATTCAGATTATAAATGGATGGAATTAATTTGATTATGTTTACCTGGTTCAACAAGGCTTGAATGCATCCTAACACTACCATATTTGTACTACTGATGTTATCATCAGTGACCTTCAAATATGTTTTACCATAATATTGTAATGCAAAGAGCTTGCTTTCACTGCACAATCTTTTAAGATACTTTAATTGTGCATTCTGTTTAGTTTGTTTGCATTAAGTGAGTATAAGAACTGGAGGGTATATGTTACCAGGTATGAATTGGGAATTGACGAAAGAAAGGTATTCAAGGTTTAGGAAACTGTTATGTTTCAGTATTATGTGTACATGGAATTTTATCTACAAACCACTGGCTAGATGATCATGTTTAGCAAAGTAAATAGGTAGTATTTGTCATTTGTTTTGTTTCTTAAAATATTTGACAGAGTTTTAGTATTCTTCTCTACTGATCAACGCAAATAAACAAAGGAATCATTGGATTTACTGATGTATACAAAGTCATGAAACTTATTTGTCATTCTGATGAACGTGATTGTTCAGTATTTTAGAATCTGTTTGCAGGGTATTTTTTTTACCATCATTCTATGTCTCTTTTCAATTAACATATATTTACGTGCCTAATAAATAATTACGTACCTGGAACAAGTTTACTGTATTATAGGTCTGTACACAACTTTAGTCGACCACATTGTTCGATAGATGTTTTTAGAATAAATTTACAGATTGATCTTGAGATAATGGAGAACATATTTAGCTCAGGAAGGTGATTTTGGTGATATTGTATTCTCTGATTCAAGTGGTTTGGCCGTAAAGCTTTCATTTTCATTCTAGACAAAATCAGCGTTTAGTCTTACACAGGTTATTCTGCTGCTCTAAAAAATTATAATGCTGCTAAAAAACCATGTTTATAGTGTCAGTAAAATTCCATTGGTCTTCACTGTTGGTTAATGTTTCTTTTGTGTAAGACAATCTAGATTGTTATGCTTTCACCGCTGGTAAGGTAATCGAAACTCAATGATAACGGTTATCACTACCAGGTTAAGGCGGGGGGATAAACAGACAAAACTATGTAGATACTAATACAGCAATGAACCACTGCGAATTGTAACATTCGTTAATAAGCATGAAATAAGATTAAAGTTGGATAATAGGTTATTGATACTAAAGAAAATCTAACTTCAGTCTAACCTGCCTGGAAGGGAACTCTGCATAGGCATTTTAACCAAATAGTCTAAACTTCCTAAACTTGCGTATTTTGGCTATACATATATAGCTTCCTTCGGTTGTTGTTGCTCATATTGCTTGTAACTGTTTTTTTATTTATTATTTTGCTTAAAGGTGAGAAAAGTATCTCAACGGAACATTCTAATACACCATCTGTTGTATATCTTTGTCGCATTTGTTCCGGTTTCCGAACAGACAATGAATCCTTAGTTGAGAGTCACCTCATAGATAAACATAAGATTCCATGTAACATGCATTCAGATCCATGTTCATGTGATGAAGTAAACGATGTTCATCAAGCCGATGTTAAAGCAATGAATACCAATGATGATAATTCAACCATCACTACTGTTGATAATAAAGATCATGAAAATTTTGATCTATTCAGTCCTTTATACTGTCAAACATTACAAACACCAGTAAATGTACATGATACTTCTCCTGGTACCAATGATGCTAATTCCATGGATTCAATTAGTCCTCCACATTCACCAGTTTCTCCTGTTTTGAGAGAAACAAATAGTGCACGTAAAAAAATAACGATTACTTTGAATAGCTCACCACCACCACCTACAACAACAGCTTATATTTCAGAATTGAGAACTCCTGAAAAGCATACGATTATATCAAGCCAGGGGAATGAAACTGTTGTATCGCTAACATATGAAACAGTATTAATGTCATCTCATTCACCTAGTAGTGTAAGTTCTTTTTTAATGTCCTATTAGTTGTATCATACTGGTGTTTGCGATTATCTCATATTTTTGTTTGCTTTGTATTTCTGTTTGTTTTTTCACTAAACGTCATGCATAGTAATAGTAATTTTGGGCAGAGTACAAAGTCACATCGAATATCGAGTTGTCATGGGGATTTGGTAGAAAGTTTCGGCACATTGGCTATATGATTTAGGAGCTTATTTGTCATATCTCAGGGCTATACCGTATTTCAGTTACCATATATTAAATTGAATTTATTATCTACATTTATTCGGTAAGCAACTTTGACAGTTTACTCATTATAACGAAATTAGTCATAATCTTGATTGGCTTTTCGTTAATTCATACAATTGTTTCCCTTCAAAATTTTTAGCAAAGCAAGAATAAACACATTTTGCAGAATATGATGAATTCTTTATATTTTGTCACCTTTTCATCTGCCTACAGATTGTAAAAATTATGAGATAGATGCAACCAAATGAAATCTACATATTGTTTGAAGTTTGTGGGAATTTTATTTTTAAGGTAGTATTCATCACGGATTAGAAATCATTTGGAAAACCAATGAAAACCTGAAGGCCAATGGATAGGTGTTTGGTCTTAATATGGAGCACCTCAGCAACTCATCCAGGACTAAACTACATATCTTAGTTATCGAAAGGAAAATATTCCATCAGTGAAAATACGGTAAAAAAAATTGACATCGTTTAAAGAAGTCCAAATGAAATAACTTTTCTTCTGACTAAAACCAAAGTTATCCAATGTTTATATATAGGGGGGAATATTTGTGGCGTTTATATAGTCTGTGTCATTTTTCTACATGTCAGACTGAGAAATCGAATAGACAGGATTATATAAGAAGTGTATATGATAGCTTAATAATATAAATACTAGTTTAGAAATTTAGTATGAGTTAAGGTCGATCCTCGGTCAGATAGTAAAACTATGAAGATAAAATAAAAATTGATTGTGAAATCGGTTGTAAAAGGGGATGAAAATATTTCATAGTTTTTATAACTTATAAGGCGACAAAGTTCAATGAATTCATTGTATCCTGCAAAATTTGTACTTTTGCTTTGCTTAAATTTACTTCGTTTGATAGATGGCATTTTTTACTTTTCAAAAAATCCCAGTTATAGATTGAAAAGTTCAAAGAACAGTATTTGTTTTTTTTTTCGGGAGACTTTAAAGACCACTCTACCAACTGATGATACAACCAATTACATTCCTTTATCTTATGGAAAGATAATTCTCCAGGCGAAATACCAAAGTTTGATTGGTTATTTCAGTCGTTGCTAAGGTGGCCTATAAAGTCACTCGTCTTTTTCATGTCCTTGTGTGATTGGTGTGTTTAATGGGGTGTCAATCATCTAATCTCCTAAGCTCTACTTTTCTTTAAATCTGTCTCGTCGTATCTATGTTGTATGTCATCATTCAGTTATTGATTACTGATCGAATGACATCGTGTGGTTAGCTTCGAAGATTCATATCTCCTGCACTAAGGGAGAATGCGAATGATATAGGTGAGGATATTCTCACAGTTCAAAAATGAAGGTATTTCTTGGGTATTGTACTCCACTTGAAATAAAATTACTAGGTTTGCAGATGTTTTCATTGATTAGTAGGGAGCGCTTGAAAACCTTGATATTTCATCTTTTATTCTTTGGGTATGTATTTTTTTATGAAAAGCATCCTAATTATGGCTTTTTGTCGAATTCTATCTATTTGTATTTATTCAAATGTTTGTTATTATTTACTGTGTGAGTATATTGGATGTAATTACAACATTGGTCTCAATTTTATATTGTTTCGATTCTCAACGTTAAATATCGTCTTAATTCAGGCCTCTTTTTGAATTGACTTTCCAATGTTATTTAATATCCTGATCCTTAGTACGGTATACTGGCTTGGGTGTGCATATTTTGTCTGCTTTTGTTGAAAAAGTGATGACATCGAAAACTTATCAATTTACACCTAAGGATCCCTCCTCTATACTTTACTCTACTATACTCACAATACAAATCGCATGACTATTTTAAAAGAAATCATTGGTAACATTCAATCTTCGCAATACTAATCGAAAACTCGAGGCTTGGCATGTGTTTATTATTTGTCAAATGGGAAATGACGCCTCATAATGAATCCAAATGGAAACTTTATCTGACTTTAAATGGAATTGGATCCAGTAGCAGGAAAGTGATCTTCTGTTTCTTTCCTAACGTCCTCCATATAGAACCTGATATACTGATGCTGGAATTGCCCTTATCTCAGCTTGAAAAATAGGTGTTTCTCAGTATAAAGCACTTTTAGTCATCTGATGTGTACAGAATTGTAGTCATTGCTGTTCATTGCATTACTAGTAATTACCAATTATACTTCTAGGAGATGTTTCTTTATTCACTTCTCATCTCAGTGTATTTGTGCTAAAGTATAGCTTAATGCATGAAATTTGCTAGACTGAGTATAAATAATCGATCTCCTATTCGTCTTTTGATTTTGTCTTCCCATTTTGTCATACCCTATCTGTTTATTCGCCTTTCATTTCAGCCAAATAATATACCCCTCAGAAGCACAAATGTCCTGATTGTGATCGATGTTTCAGTAGTTATAAAGCATTTGAACGTCACACACTTCGATCGCATGCTCCAACTCCTCTGTCAGCTGGAAAATCAGGTAACTACGAAAGTCCTTTTTCAATGATTGTTTCACAGTGCCTACAAAATTATTATTAATTATTATTAATTATAGTGAATAGCTTAATGTAAACAGAACATAATATAATGGTGTGTTCTTACTATAACTTAGCAGCAAGTAATTTTATCTGAAATTAAATACCCGTTTCTTGTATCTAACATAGATACATTACCGATACCATGTTACTTGATAGACGCTAATTACAAATCCTGAGTTACTTTGAAGGCCACAGCTTGATTGACTTTAACGGTGCTAGCATAATTTGTTTCGTTGGTTGGATATACATAATTCCTTCCCTTTATGTTGAAAGAGTACATCGCTGAAATATTTCTTAGGTCATAAGCACTGTTGACATAGTGTACTGTTTCGAATCTATTAGCTAGGTTATGAAACCGTACTTCTAGAAAGCTAGTTTTATGCTTGACATACATTTTACTTGTTAGTTTATGCATAATTTATCTTTTTTCAGTTGATATGGACGCTCAGTCATCCTGTGAATATACGTCAACTGTTTTATCTTATGAATTTGTTTGCTCTCAATGCGATCGTAGTTTCACCACCAGTCAAGCGTGCAAGGTAGGTTAAAATGAAGTTCTCAAGATGTTTTGTTAATTTTTTTTTCTTCAAAACGATGATTTTGATACTTAACAGTTGTAAGTTTCTCTCTGAATGTAAAGATGGTTCACTGAAAATCTGTTGTCGTCTTTTTGTATGTTCGACGAGACGTATGTCGATATTGAAATTGGAGTGAGAGTATGGCATTTGCAGTAACTGACAGCTATTTTCGATGTAAGAGTGTTGTTTTCCTTTAGTTAATTTTAGTTGTATCGTTTATTGTCTAGTACCGAAACCTGTATGGGATTGGAGATTATTATTCAGAGTTTTAGTATTCTCACCACTAGGTCACAGGCACAATTACCTGAGTACACAGTATTTTTTTTATCATGATAGTAATCGAGATGATGATGAGCAATTATTTGTACACGAAGAATCATTCATTAAACAATAATGTAGCACTAATTGCTAAAATCCGGTATATCAAATGATAAAATTTGATCGATGGCGACGACTAGTAGTTTTTAATTGCTCGTTTTACCTTAATTCCTGAACCCAGATGGTATTGTAGTGGGTAGGCAATTACCAGCAATGGGTAAAGATTCTACCCAGAGAAACGCAGGAGACAATGTGGGCGTATTGAGAGCAAATCAAGATAGAAGCGGAAGAGAAAATGAAGCACATAATGCGAATGACTGTCTTAGTGGGAGGTGTACAATATTTGATGACTCTACTGTACAAGATGTCAATAATAAACATTCCTTCCTTCATCTCCGTTTTCTCGTTTTCTACAATTATTTACCTCTGGTGACTTCACTACAGCTACTGCTGTACCTATTAGCTGTCTGGTGACCTTGGTCAGCTCACTGATATCCATAGGTTGGGCTGCGTTCATTAGTCGTAGCTGCTGGGCGATAGCTTTCTGGACACTTTCGGTGAACTGTGCAGCCAGCAACTTTGTCCTCATCCAAAGTTGGAAGTGTTCGTCGAAGTAGTTTTGTCAGCTTCATAGCCAATACCGGCATGTCCTTGTCTATTCGAAGTTTCGTGCTCCGGAACTGCAGTATCGCCAGCCCCCTGTCTGCTGGGCTGTCAAACTCAGCTTCCAGGCGTTTAATCATTCTCTGACAAATCTACTTCCCATCTTCACGTTCCATGCCGTCATATGCCGCTTTCGCTCGAGTTCTCAGCAGCCAGCCAAGCACCACGACTTTCGCTCTTAGTAGCCGGACATCCACCAGTTCCGCGATCGACCCGAAGTTCCTGAGATAAACCTGGATGTCTCCACCATCGAACATTGCAGGCGACGGGATCTTCACCACCTCTAAAAGCAGCAACATTAATTGTAGAAAACGAGAAAACGGAGATGAAGGAAGGAATGCTTATTATTGACATCTTGTACAGTAGTCATCAAATATTGTACACCTTCCACTAAGACAGTCATTCGCATTATGTGCTTCATTTTCTCTTCCGCTTCTATCTTGATTTGCTCCCAATACGCCCACATTGTCTCCTGCATTTCTCTGGGTAGAATCTCTACCCATTGCTGGTAATTGCCTATGATTTCTGCTGTCCTCTCAACATATACTACTTATATCCATTTTGATCAGCAACGCCCGCTACAGTTTAATAATGACGAATAAATTTTCCTTTATTAAGCACTATTCATGCCATGACAGACCTCCTGGAGAGCTGACTTATTCAAAAGAATTGATTGTCAGAGAGAAACTGGTGTTTAGCTTTCAAGATCTTGGTGTTCAGCGCTGATTGAGGTTTATGGGTTAGGTTGATAATGTGATCACTCATCGAAGTGACGTAACACTGCAATGCAATATATTTTAGTGTTTTTAAGATCTCAGGAGCCAATCAGTTGGACATACTTGTTGGCAATCACCAACAAGGCATATCTTCAAACATCGCTACCGGAATAGCTTAGGAGTAACCACTTTTGACTTCAGCACGGAGTGGTGCAAGTTTAAGAAAAGTTATTATTTTAATGTTTACAGTTACATCTTGCTGATGAAGAGTGCCACGAGAAACGAAACTAGCTCGGGTTCTCTAGTGTGTTCACTCTTAGTATTCAACTTAGGCTTGCATTAAAGGCTTCGTCGATAAACTTCAGTTGGTACTGTGCTGTGGGACTTGATAGCTAATTAGACTACCCCATGCTAACCACGCCGTGTACACAGTGAAAAATTGCTTAAGTGTCATTTTGACTATTTGAGTGAGATAGACGTGGTTTAGCAGACTAGTATCAATACTGGGTGATGATTGAAGGTGAAATGAAAATTCGGACAGCGGTGGGATTCAAACCAACAACCACCGGGTTTTCAACCTGGTGCTCTACCAACTGAGCTACGAGATACCCGGACTGCTGGCCAGATTTTTGTTTCACTTCAGTCAGGAAAGTTTTTTTCCCATGACAGTCGGGTAAAAACCTTTCTGATTGGAGTGAAATAAAAATGTAGTCGGCAGTTGGGTGTCTCGTAGCTCAGTTGGTAGGGTATCTGACCAGAAACCCGGTGGTCGCGGTTTCGAGGCCCGCCGCTGTCCAAATTTTCATCACACCGTCACTCATCACCCAGTATAAATACTAGTCTGCCAAATCACTGCTATCGCACTCAGATATTCAGTATGATGCTCCTCCGCTCTCTAATTCAGTTACATTTGGATGGGGGTGAGAAGTCCTGACTGATATGGCAGACAATGTGAGTACGATCAAGCGGTAGTAACACATCACAAGTTCACATGGTAGATGGGGAAAAGCCTTGATGATTGAGGTTAGTTAACTGTTACTTTTGAACAATGAAGCTTGAAATAATTATATTTAACAGATGTTCATTTTTTTGAACCATCATAACTCGTTTTATATATTGTTTATTGAAAATTACATATTCAGGGATAGAATTATGTCTGCAGTAGAAGTGGTCGCTTTCATTCTTATCTTCTTTGTGTACGTGTTGTTGTGACATTTTTTCTGTGTAGAAAATTTTTGAATAAACGATACATAATACTGAATTAGTCAGCACTACTCATTCAGTGTGACGCGGATATACTTTGTCATTTATATTGCCTATTATGGGGAAGATTTGTGTAGCCTAAACGTTACCTTGTTGCTTTCTATTACAGATGCATGCAAGAATACACAAACAAAGTAAGGAAATTCTCATGGTGTTTTGGTTGTGTTTTTGAGGATTCATTTTGGTAACTGAGAAATTGTTTTCATCAAAAATTAGAAGATAGACAATCGTTTCGTTCCAAATTGACGAGATGTTTCACCACTCTATGCACTCCAGCTAGTCACTGCGAGACTTCTGCTCACTTCTGCTCCCACTTTTCATTGGACATACGTCTGCATTGTTGAGACGATCAAAGGCAGAAGGGAATAGTTGTTCAGTGTTGTCCAGTTTGACAAACTTTCTCCAATTCGGAATTGGAACTATCTGTCTTCGAAACTATCCTGATTATATTTCTCAATTTATTGCTAGAAATGCTGTGTTAAACAATAAATTACATCAAGTTATGTTAAGGCTTCAATTCGTAAAGATAATTTTTTTGAGTTGATGCCTGCGATAGCGTATTAATTGCAAAGTCGTCGTTATATGTCTATCACCGTTGACGTTTTGTAAAGAGAATTATACATTTTCGTCAGAGAAGAAACTTTAACCTTCGTTTCCTTTCCCCCCTAGACAAAAAGTTCAATCGAACCAACGATTTAACCAACGGTAATCTGAATGAAGCAGTGGATAATGCCAATCACCGTAAAGAAAGCCTCATTGAATCGCGATACCGTACAATCCTAGTGAGTGTCATTCCTGTTATTGTCATATCTGCATGTATTCATTGTATAACAGGAACGATAACTTCAGAGAATAAAATACACTATATATATATATATATATATATATATATATATATATATATATATATATATATATATATATATATATATATTACTACCAACAGAAAGACTGTATTGTATTTGTGTATGGTTCGAAAGCGGTATTACCACACAATGTGACTAGTTTGCATACGAGTATTATCGTTCACTTCATCAAGTTTCATAGTGCGAATAATAACGGCATTAAAAGGACTAATTGAAAATGGGTAGCTGGTGTTACATTGGCTCATAGCAAATGTGTTTTCAATACTCTAGTGCTGCTTCGTGAAATTATCTTGAATTATTTTCAATTGTGCTTTCTGAAAAGTGAGCTAAGAAGGATTTTTAGGTTTTTATTATTTTACGTATCTAGTGTTGAAATCAAGAAATATATGACTTCAGTGTCCCTCTGCAAATAACCTAGTTTTGTGCATTCAAGATTGTATACTAAAGTGTAAAGTTTTCGAAAAAATATGACTTGTTGTGACTTATTATGAAGCATGATAAAGTACGGATTTCCAGGATCTGCTTTTCCGCAACCTGCTTAAACTCTCGGCTACCGAGAATCTTCTACCTAATTTACCTCATTAAATTTTTCCCATTAAATTCTTATTAATCTTTTCAATGTGTTTTAAACGTGTCAAGTACTATCGCACACTTGAAAATGTTTCAAACTGTAATTTTCAAGCTAACAACAAAACAATGAATAAGCAATAGGCTTATGGATGCACAGAAATACTGTGCATTACTATTCCTTCAGTATGGTATGTGCTTTACACCATTAAAGTGCAAAGTACTCCTGCAAGATTGGCAGGAGCCTGTGCCTGCGCTCACCCTCGGTGGTGAGCCGTTGGAAGTAGTCGAAAAGTTTGTGTATCTGGGTAGTTGTGTGAGTGCTGGTGGGGGTGTGTTGTGAAATTTCCAACCGCATATCGAAAGCCAGAGGGACATACGTCAATCTGAGCCGTTAGTCTAACCGAATAAGATCGGCTTTACAACACCTCTCATTGTTGTATGCAATGATGAATTGAAGTTTCATTTTGCTTTAGTGTGACCATATTGTTCACTTGATAGATTTCTACAAGTAGTTAAATCTAGACACGCTCACTGGTCATCATCCATCAAGATATGACCAGGCATTACTGCGTAACGATCCGAGTTGCCACATCTCATAGCACTACATCAAGTAAAAAGCAGTGAGGTGGAGGACGGAGAAAAAGAAATCCAGTCAAAAGAAATATAAAGTATGAAAAGAAGGAAAGGAAGAATGAGAAAATGGTGAGATTCGGTATAACGTCGTTTTAAGGTGAGCATAGTGTGTGCATACATCTATGCCACTGACATAGGTTCTGAGCCATATCACCACCTACAGTCTCCAACCACTAGTTTCTCTTGTCCCGCCAACACCAACCGACTAGTCTGCATTGCCATACATGGCTCAAACCAACAGTCAGAGACTTCATATATTGATGCCATGTTTTAGTCTGGCCACCTCGTGCCTTTTTCCAGACTGGACCTACTTTGGTCAACATTGTGTGACGAGGCTATCGGTGACTAGGAATAAGTAACACGTGTCCGAACCAGCCATCTCAGTCGATGAAGGTTCATAACCGTTCACAACGCTCGCCATTGCCATGAGGCAACTGAATTGCGAGCATAATGCAGTTCTACACGAAGCTATTTCTTGGTATGAAAAGCTTAATGGTAAATTTTCTGACCTAAGAACCAAATTATGCAGGTACAATTGCTGACGAGTACCACTAAGCGTGAAACGTAGACTTTGGTCATCCTGTTGATCGACTATCAGTATCTAACTTTGAAATAATCTATCTAGTTCTCATATCTCTAAGTGAAATTGGTCGCAGTGGCTCAGGTCCATTCAAATACCTTGTCTTCATCTTCACCATAATATCATATTCCGTTATTCACCTTTGACACTTTCTTTCCTTATAACTCTTGAGAACTTCTGAATATACTGTGTTAGTTAGCTAGAGGCAGTCGGCAGGAAACCCTGGACCTAGGTTTCGTGCTTATTGGCCCTCCTCAGCAAGGTGTATCTGCAACCTCAACGGAACCGATGTTCCGTCTGAGGTTGGAGTCCGCACCACACAGCATTGTAGTCAGCGACTTTACCACTGAGCTATTCGCGCCGCGATTGACCTCCTAAAGGGCTGGGTTACATATATTGATTGGTCACGGAAGAACAACCAATTTCATGTTGTCTAGTCCTGAGTGCAGACCGAATTCTATCGATCATATTTGCAATGTGACCACCAAGCTTGGAGGCTCAGCATCGCGCATCACATGTTCTTGATGTAGTGGTTGGAGATATGGCAACTCAAATATATTTAAAGTGCTTCTAAAGCTTATATTAACGCTGATTGGCTAACTAAAACAAGACGTATGTTTTATACATGGGAGTTAAACAGTTTCTTTAAAAATTAAAACAATTCACTTCTTTTATTATTCATAATTAAACATTTTCCACTCTTTTTAGAATTGTGACGAGAAAGTTATTATTATTTTCAGCCTAAACCATCCAGTAAGCAAACATCATCTGTTCAATTTTCACTGTTGGACTTAAAACCACGACGGAGAAATGCTCGTCGTCAAACTACTTCATCAACATCATCATCATATGAACAAATATTATCATGCAAAAAGCAAATCAATCACAATAATGTTGTCAACAATTCCTCTGCCAGAATATACAGCTATTCAGATGAAAATCCTCAGTCTTATTCGAATTCCACTAACATCTTTTACCAGTCTACAGCTAATAATCGCGATAACCCTGTTAACAGCAGCAATAATAATCATATAAATTTAAGTGATCAGATAATTTATGACTCGGTGACAAACACAAGTGATGAAATTTGTAAGCCATCACATTTACTTACTGTTGCATCTGCTTACGCCTCACAAATCCCGTTCAGTCCACGGAGTAGTAACGATACATCACACAGTATGGATAATGTGATCACAGATGCGACGATTGTTCCTGTGAGTTGATCTGTGTAAAATATCACATTGTATTTTTGATAATCAAAATAATCTTTACTTGATAGAGATAAATGAGTAACAAGTGAGATTTAAGCTAGTGGATAAATATGCGTTAGACATCTTTCCTTTTTCATCTTGTAAAAAGCTTAATCCTAAAGACTGGCCCACTTCAAAACAATATACATTATTTAAAAATGCAAGTACACCTTTTTGCGGACGATAAGATTTGTTGAGATAAGCTGGGAACCACTGATACCGACGATGTGGTTTGTAGTCCAGTAACTATATGCCATATACCCCTAATTTCGCATAACTTTTACCTGATGTTTGCCTATAATGTTAAAATAACTTGTCATTACTGTTTTCACATCGTTGCTAGCTTTTGTTTTCCCACTGCTCTGAATGCTGAACTTCCATTGGTTGTTAACTCTTTTAACCGATATGTGGGTTTAGTGTTGTCAAGGTCGTTTAGAAATATATGCATTCAGCATCGGTCTCAACTGTTTTGACTGTTTTTGAGACAGTAAAAGTTCTCTGTCAACGGTTCATCTGCACACGTCGGTGGTATTGTTGTTGTTGCGGTTTAGGTTCTGATTAGCGTTTAGAGTCGATTCGTTTTTGCGTTAGGTGCGTATAGCTTGTAGACTGTTAAGTCGTCAAATTTGTTTTCTAGTAATGTACTCTTATCGATAGAGAGTGTACTGGTTGAGTGCGTTGACCACTTATTCACTTACCTGGGAAGTGGGATCAGCCCTGCTCTGGTGGCTCAGTAGCCGATGAAATCTGCACGAATACAAAAGGCTCGATTAGCTTTTGCCAACTTACACCACCTATGGCGCCACCGTGATATCCAATTGCCTATTAAGACTCGCGTGTACTGCACAACAGTCTACTCTGTTCTACTGTATGGCTGTAGAACATGGCCATTGAAGGTGGAAGACATGAGAAAGCTGGCTTCAGGTGTTTGACCACCGTTGCCTTCGTAGCATAGGCCGCCGTATCCCATGGTGTCACCACATGAGTAACGCAGAAGTCAGGTGTAGAGTTTTAGGGAGAAGAGGTAAGTCAGTTGATGAGGTTATGCACCTCCATCGACTGAGATGGCTGGTTCGGACACGTGTTACTTATTCCTAGTCACCGATAGCCTCGTCACACAATGTTGACCAAAGTAGGTCCAGTCTGGAAAAAGGCACGAGGTGGCCAGACTAAAACATGGCATCAATATATGAAGTCTCTGACTGTTGGTTTGAGCCATGTATGGCAATGCAGACTAGTCGGTTGGTGTTGGCGGGATAAGAGAAACTAGTGTTTGGAGACTGTAGGTGGTGATATGGCTCAGAACCTATGTCAGTGGCATAGATGTATGCACACACTATGCTCACCTTAAAACGACGTTATACCGAATCTCACCATTTTCTCATTCTTCCTTTCCTTCTTTTCATACTTTATATTTCTTTTGACTGGATTTCTTTTTCTCCGTCCTCCACCTCACTGCTTTTTACTTGATGTAGTGCTATGAGATGTGGCAACTCGGATCGTTACGCAGTAATGCCTAATCCTGTGTTGAATTGGTTGAATGGTGATGACTCTTATCAATTCTGTGCGATTTAGATACGTACTGAACAGCTCTAATATTTACGACTTCGTCGCTTGAAATCGTTCACACCTGGTATTACTACTTCACGTGATTTTTATTCTTTATATTGATTTGTAGAGTTTCGAAAAAAGTGATTATGTTTCGTGAAAATTAGTTTCCATTTAGCTGCAGTACAGTTTCATCTCGAAATATACGAAATAGTTTACACTGAAGGTTCGTAGGTGGGCACTGCTGAGGAGTCGTATGGTTAGACGAAACAGCTGTTCAGTCCTCTTGGATTTTCACTGGTTCTCCACGGGATATCAAGTCTGTGAATACCATTGTGATATACGGTGTAGACTAACATAAGTGAAAAACTTGGGCACTGTGGTAGGATGTAATTTTATATTAGATTTGTTTATTTGATATATAGCGCACAGTAATACAGTATTATTTACTTGATTACGTTTCGAGCATAAATTATTGCTAATAATCATATCAATGTAATCACACTTCTTTCGATATTTGATTTTATAGTCCTGTCACCTGATCTCTCTTTGTTTTTTTGTATTTTGATTGGTAGTAGAGTTTTCCATATCTCTGGTATAGGTGTTGCGTCATTCCTATAACATTTGTTGGGTGTGAATTCGATGAACAAAGATTCAGTAATTAATCTCTCTCTCCACCTAGCTATATTAGACTTAAGTACAGTGGTTTTGTCCCATCCTATTGTGTGGTTGTGTGTTAATGAATGTAATGCAATGGCCGAGTGTTTTCCTAGATTATTGATCTTATTGGGGTCTGTCATTCTATGTTTAGCTAAATTCCTATGTTCTGTTAATCTAACTGACCCGACCGGCTAGTTTGACCTATGTATTTGACCTCACAGTCATTACATGGAATGCGGTAGATTATATTATTTTGCTTAATTGGTTCTATCGGATCTTTTAGCTGACAAAGCTTACCTCTAAGTGAGTTAGTTGGTTTAAATGCTACCCTAATTCCAACCTTGTTGGGAATCCGACGTATGGTTTTTAATGTTCCTTCTTTGTATGGTATCACAATAGAGGTGTTGATTTCCTTTCTACCTTTGTTGTCACTATTATTTGTATATGTATTAGTGTTATTATTTTGCTTCTTATGTGTCCGTGTGAATTTCTTAATAAAATGATGGGGATAATAATTAATTATTAACGCTTCTTTTATGTGTTTCAATTCCTTATTTAAATCCTTACAATGACTAGTGAGTTTCTCAGCTCTGTTATTTAGACATTTGACTAAACTCGTTTTAACTGACACTGGATGAGATGACTTGAAGTCTAGATACCTGTTAGAATGTGTTGGTTTTCTGTAGACGGTAGTACCAATCAAAAAGCAAAGAAAAATCAGGTGACAGGACTATAAAATCAAATATCGAAAGTGTGATTACATTGGTATGATTATTAGCAATAATTTATGCTCGAAACGTAATCAAGTAAATAATACTGCATCACTGTGCACTATATATCAAATAAACAAAGGTGTAGACTAACATCTACAAGTTTTAAAATGGTATAATTTATTGGGGTTAAAAATCATACTTCTCAGCATTTCAGCTAGTCAGTTTTTAAAAAAGGACAGATGTTTTAAGTTCACTGGAAATATTGAAATCATCAACTAGAGTTTTTTTCTTTAGTTAAATGGTTATTTGTTGATTGAAAAGATAGTTTATTTTGACATGAGATTTTCTACCAACTTTCCTAAACGTTTAGTGTACTTTTTATGATTAGATTTTACAACACGAAGCAATAAATCTTTCAATTGTCAGAAAACGTCACTGTCAAACTAGTCAACGCTGTAGACCGCATGCGTGTTTCATGACCTGACTTACGGTATATGTAGCTTTCTCTATCACTAACAGGAAAGTAAATTGGTGTAAAGCACCATATAAAGGTTCTTTGTTTCAACGGTTCAAAGCTTTCAGAAAGTGAATGAAACTGTTTTTTTTAACATAAAGATTTAACGACAGGTTGAAAGTAAACCTGTTAAGAAATATTTAATTATTACTAATCCTAATGGCATGTGAATTATCCAGCTACTGATGTGTATGGCATTTTAAAAACTTTACGACTTAGACCGATAATAGTTTGACTTCGTGAATTGATACCATATTTCTACATAAACACCCTCAATGTTTTCTTAATCCAGCTTTAAGTGACTGTGCTTTAGTTGTTGACCAACTTGATAACTTTTTCCCGTCATTGACACGTAGTTTAAGAATCATGTCGTGATCGAATTCCCATGTATGAGCTCTCTTTACGAATAGTGCTTCTTATCCGCTTGCATTTTTCACCGCAAGTGTAGTACATTATCCCCATCATCGTTTTACTACTATACCGTTCTCATTTTAGTAGCATCACAGGTGAATATTAAAGAGCGTTTCTCTTCGGATTTGATTTTGTACTACTTGTAACCAATTTTAAACCTTGAAAGAATCAGTGCCTAGCTAAGTGATTTAGCGTAAGATATCGTTTTTCCGTGTTTATATTTGTGAGTGTTGAAATTGAGTTGTTCTCTAACTGGAGGCTTTAGTTGGCAAACGTTTCTTTATCATACTAGACATCGTCATGAGTGCATCGGGGCTTCACAAAGGATTTAGGACTCTTAGATCAGTGTCATTCTCAAGTATTGGTCGGACTGGAATGCAATAATATCCGTGTTGTAGTTTTTCCTGTCTTCTATATAGGCAACAAGACAAACAAAAGAGCAGAAAAAAAAAATCCTTTCTGTATCCTTATGTGAATACCCTTCACTTTTATCCTTTATATTATGCTTTGGAAGTTAATATTATTTAGTGTTGCATTAAGATTTGTAAATGTGCTAAATTACTGTTCTTAAGAACTACTGAAGTATCTACTGAATACACTTCCAATTGTTTACGTATGGATTTTTTGCTATATTTCATATCTCTGTTGTTAATCTATGGTGTAACTGTGAGATACTACGTAATGCGGTTGCCGACCAAACATGATTGGAGGATAACTATCCTAAAGTCCAACTAACTATGTATGTGTGTGTTTGTACTTTCCAGAATAGTCAAGGTTACATAGTATTCATACGGTAAAACAGTAGTGTGGGCGCTGGTTCGAATCCCGTCGTGGTCCACTTTGCATATGACCTTCAGTTATCACCCAGTATCAGTAGTGTATTTAAAAAATGTGATTAAGACAGAACAGCTATCATCTAATCTTAAAATAGGCTACAGACAGTCAAACGAGGAGTTTGGTGTATAGTCACTAAATTCTTGCCCATAAATATAATGCTGTGGTTTTATCTTCCAGCAGTTTATCATTTCCTTGAATATGATTTTTTTTTCTTCTATTTGCAGATATCAGCTGATTCTTCCATCCCCAATATTCAAATCTATCCTATCCCGTGGTCGTCTAACGCACATAACTCTAGTCTATTGTCTTCTGATACTACAGTAGTATCCAATGTAATAGTCAATCAGTCAATAGACACTTCTGTTTCTTGTATTTCTGATAATAATAATAATAACAATAATAATAATAATAATAATGATAATAATAATAATAATAATCAGCTTCATACAGTTAAAGCTGTCAGTACAGATTGTGCATCATCATTTACTCATGAATCATCAGCACCATATTCTTTTATTCAATTATATCCTGTTATGAGTTCAGACGGTACTTTGTACTATATAACTGGTACACCTATTGAACTTACTCAAACAGATTCTAATGATCCTAATCATCAAATTGGAATTTTCAGTCATAATACTATCGTTTCCACAAATTGTGAACCAGAATATGCGTATTCAGCAAATGAAATTTGGTCATCGAATGAACCTAATACTGGGAATATAAATAATAATAATAATAATACAGCTAATATAAATTCCTCATTATCTCAACAAATAACTACCACAGAAATCAATTCTACACTACACGCAAACAGTACAACCTCAGATAGTTATCTTATCAATACTGAAAGTTGTAGTAGTAAAAATAACGAAGGAACTGTATATCTCTCTTCTCATTATAATAGTGTCCCGAGAATTGTCAACCAGTTTTAGGTAAGTTACGAAAGATATTTTTATTTTATTCAGTGTTGGTTTGTTTTTTATCGCATATTGTTCTACTGCAATACTTAATGTTTTACTTTTAGCAATCTTAACAGATTGTATTAACTGTTTGAGTTAACTAAATCATATATTGTTACCATCCTACTCTGGTCCCTTTATTGCCATTCGTTGTAGTTTCTTCTGAGAATGGGATCTGTGGAATGCTGTGAAGATCAACTGTTGATAGACTTATGTCCAACTTATAGGTACAGCTAAGCTGTAAAGAAGAGGGTATTTAGGTTTGGTGGTTGCAATCAACATGAAAATCTAGAAGCGATAAGAATAAAAAGCATAGTTTTTATCATGGATTGACAGGTAATCATCTGCAGTTGATAGTGTACAAATAGAAGGGAAAATAAATCTGGAAACTTAAATGAATCGTGTAAGATTCTGGAGTACATAGCATGCTTAACTGTGAGCACTAAACTCTTAACCTTTTTTGAATATGAACATATATTCAACAAGCGGGTATATATATCTGCTTTAAATGATCTCCAATGTTTATTATTTCGTTTTGTCTGCACAGTTATCTTTCTGGTGGAAGACTCATTTTCGAACTCCGGAGTCTATGTAGGCATTGACTTTGCTTATCATTTTACTATCTGAGATAGCTGTAGTTTGGCAGACTAGTATTTATACTGGGTGATGATTGAAGGTGGGGTGAAAATCTGGACCCGGTGGTCGCTGGCTCGAATCCGGCTGCGGTCCAGATTTTCAGCTCACCTCCAATCATCATCCAGTGTAAATATTGACTTTGTTGTCCACTAAACTAGTAGGAACGTTCCTATCTTATGTCAAACAGTAACTGTTTTACTGTAGTTGTTCAGGTAGTGTTAATCTTCTGCAAAGAAATGGGTCGTGTATTAGGGATGTATATATCCCTTATACTCCATACCTACAAGTTGTACATTTTGAACTTTTTTCTTTGTCACTCGTTTTCCTGCACATAAGTCACATTCCATGTGACCCGCTAGCGTTCTGATTGGCTTCTGTCTCTAGGTGTTCCTTATCTTTCAAGCCAACTGTAAACTCTATGAAATAGGATCAGATTTTACTGATAAACATTTTCAGTTCGAGGCACTGTAGACTTAATTGATTGCTAGTCTTCTGAGTTCCCTCTATGAATCACTTGAGTTGAATCGTTTCAACCCTCGACTCTCAATTTTAAATATTATCGTTCGCTCTCACAACTGTCTATTGTAACACTAAGGAGCACAGGTAGAGGTGTACCTGATTAGTGTAAGCACCCGACCTAATAATTGAGTAATATATTCAAATCTAACTTCACCCATCTTAACACACTAAAGGTGCCTTCATAGCTTGATTTATAAACCCATACCAAGTTTCTCAGTTGTTATTTCAATACTTATTGATACAGTTAATCTCTAACTGCTCGAAAATACAAGCAGTGATGATTATAGGAGATGTGGGCAAGAAAATGGTCAGTTTAATCAAATAGTTCGCTAGGTGTTCTACTTCTGTGATTAAATCAGATCTAACTTTTAGTTAATTTCTTAAGTCAACAGAATGCATAATATTGCTAGTTCATGGTTCATTAAGCATATTGTGCATACATATTTCTTGGTGATGCATGTATACTAGACGTTTTTTGAAAATCAAATAGCTTCTATTCATCATCCTTTAGCCAGAATGAAACATTTATTAACATCGTATTTATATGGTGTTCTTTTCAGCGACTACTTGTCCGTATAATCTGTTACAGAGACCCAAAATGTCGTTTGTTTTTCAGTCGAGTTGGTTTTGTGAAGTGATTACTTATATTCACTTCCCTTTTTAATGCTTATTTCGTAATTATTGACTACTCACTTGATTTATTATCGTAAATAATGAAAATACCATCTGCACTCACTTAAATTATACTACTTAGTTTTCTGAGTTGTTATTTCCAACTTGTTTTCTTGTGCATAGAATACTTATCGAATGATGTTGAAGTGATCGATTTAAATATTCCTGCTGCTGTCGTACATTTGGATCAAAATACTCTCCCTAGTACAATTGTTTTGAATGCATCTCAGTTAGCTACAACACTGTACGAAATCAATTCCCTTGGGAATCAAAATTTCACTGTTTCGTACTCCAATCCAACTGATTCCGTATTGAAGTGTGGAAGCGAAGGCGCAACATTTCCTGAACAACAGCAACATCAACAACAGTCACCAGGTGTTGGTTGTAGTGAAACTCAAAATAACTTTGATAGTAATGGTAACAGTGATCCAGTAAGTTCTCATGGATTTATTTTATGAGTTATTTAGGGTATTGTGTGTTTCGAAGTCGAATCGAAATGCTTTCAAGTACATTTTGGACATTCTTGCTGTAGACAATAAGCCATACCTTTTGTGTGAGCTAATGATACTGCGACATGGCTGCTTAAACCTGGGTAGGTGGAACGGTGTTTGAACCCATAACCCATTGGTTAAAAGTCAGCTACTTAAACCCAATGAACCACAGCTCCACTACTGTGTATTTCCTTTTAGTAAATCTTAAATTTGTATATGTAATGTATAGAAATAACGTACTAATAGATATCTTGCTTATAATGTAGATTTTCTCCATCTCTATGCATACACTAGGATTGTAAGCTCCATCCATACACTTAATTGAATGAAAATTAAAGCTGTACATTATATACTACTGAATCGTATGAATATTTTTAAGTGACGGATATCAATCAGAAGCAGTTTTTCCTACCTATTATCAAAGTGATAGTGTTTCTACACTAAATATCTGAGGTTGTTTAGAGAAAACAACATAAAACAGAAATTTATTAATTTTAGGCATTTGAAGGGTTGAAAAGGGATGACGCAGTCAAAGTATTAGAATACATCAGTTTAAGTTAGTAAAGTGTTTCGACAGTTTATATTGATCTTGGTGACTAACAGAGGAATCTAGAACGCGCGTTCTGTCCTATTAGAAACTCATCGACCGGATGTACTTGCACACCTAGTGAGTGATGCTGCTCCCACTGAGACTCGAACTCAGTACCTATCGCTTCAAACGCCAGGGCTTTATCCACTAAACTACTTGGGCACGATAGCTACCTCTTGTGTGATGGGTATCAATTGTTGTAATTTCCCGTTGATATACAGGGCCGAATTGCTCGACCTCTGTTGGCAGATGGGCTCCCATCCGGATGTCTCGATACTGCTGATTATTCATGATGTTAAATTGATCTTGGTGACTAACAAAGGAATCCAGGGCGCGTGTTTCGTCCCACTTGTGACTCACCACTTAAAGTGATGTTCCCACTGAGGCTCAAACTCAGTACCCTTCGCTTCAAACGGCAGGTTGTTCCTTTCATTTACAGATTGTATAATGGTAAGAGACATGAGTAATGAATAATTCAATTGAGTAAACAGTTATTGGACGGTTCACTCTGAAAATATAAAAACAATGAAGGAGAAATAAAATTACTTTTCAAGTTGGGATACGGGGAATATTCATCCTTTTATATATTGTATTGTATACATATGTGGGTGTATATATAAGATAAAAGGAAGAGACTTTAAAACTACTTTTTGAATGTTGATGCACAGATTCAGTTGTTCAAGGAATTCTCTTCTATACAAATTGTGGATTTTTTTTGGGGGATAGACAAAATTAGATGTTGTAATATTAGGGAAAAGCTTGAAATGCAGAGGACACTACCTTTATTTCTCTGTCATTAAGAGTAATTGATTGTTATTTAATATATCATGTATTATATATAGCAGAAAATAATTCTATTCTTATTCAATTTATACTATCAAGTTGGCAGTATTGAATTGTAATTCATCAGTAAAAGATTCAAGGATATCAGAAAAATCACAAATCTCATTAAATCATTCTTTTAATGATTCATCATTGAACAATGAAGTAAATAATAAAATTGATTATGAAAGCTTAAAACATTTAAAAGAATATTTTGACTTTAATAAAACAACTATAAAAATATGTAATAATTCTGTATATACTGTAAAAAGTTCATTAGATAATAATTTAATAAATAATTCATTAGTTACAGATGATTTACACAATTCTTCATCAGATTTTAATGATTCATCATTCACTTCTGTTTGTCATTTACCAACATCAGTCTAATATTATATATTCAATTCTGTTTCCTTTTTTTGCTTGTTTTTTGTTGTTGTTGTTGTTCATATTTCATAAGCAACAGTATAATAGTTTACATGTTTTTAGGTTTAAGATTCACTGAAATGAAGCTTAATCTATGCTTCCTTTTTTTGTTTTTTAATCTACATTTTCTAACTTTTCCATATACGTGTATCTGTATATATTCGCTTAACAATTGGATTATTTATTCTATTATTGGAATTTTACAATCTTGGTAGACTTTTTCTCATATTCCATTCATTAACAATTAAATTATATTGTATATGCATTCCTATGTAAATAATAACTCATCATCATTATAATTGTGCATTTCAATGGAGTATATTATATCAAACACTTCTCTATATACAATACAATCATTTTTTTTTTTTATCGCATGATTAAGAAGGAACTAAATTTATTTTTACTGGATGATGACCAGATTTGAACCAATGATCCACCAGGTTGCCGACTTCATACTCTACTAACTTAGCTATGAACATTGGGCAAGAAATCTGATGATCATTGGTTTGAATGCGACCTTCAATCATTATCCTGGTATCAATACTAGTCTCTTAAACTATGGCTATCTTAGATAGTCAAAATGACAATGAATTTATTTTGTATTGTTATTGTGACATTTTTACAGCTGTAACTAATTTTTACTGTTGATATTTTTATTTTCATTGTTATACTGTTTCAATCTTCTCATAATTAATCATAATTTTTGTCTTTATTTTAAGCATAATAATAATGATAAGTGTATATCTTCTGGGTTTTTTTCTCTTTTTCAAAAGAAGAAAAAATCCACTTCATTTTTACACTTGTATTTGATTTTTTTTTCTTTTGTTTAAATACACTGAGTATTACACCTGTCAATTTATTCATCATATTGAACATCTTGAATTACCTTCATTCAGTTTTAAATGTTTTTATCATCAACAGTCATTTCTTTAATTATTTTTGTCCACGTTTTTTATTTTAACGTTTAACAGTTATATCTTTATGTTAGAAGGAGAAAAAAAAGTAGTTACCAAATCATTGTTCATGTCTATTGAATGCTGAAACCACTTATAAAAAAAAGTAGATAATATTTAAAAAGTTTATCTTGAATCTATAACGAATCAACAGCTTTACATTATTTCTTGATAGTGAATGTATTTATTTCTGCCATCATCTTTGCTTCCCTGACTCTGAGAGCCATATATAAGTGTGAACTCGATAAGTAGGACATTTTAGCTTACTGTTTTTATTACTTTATTTACTATATGTACAAAATTTCCTTAATTTTGCATTATTCAGTGTGCTTTTTTCACAATGAAAAATTATTATTCAAAATGTTATTCTTATCATGTGAAATTGACTAATTATTCGGTTTTTAAATAAAAAATTATTTCAGGTCTTTTAGTTTGTTCATGAGTAGTTTTACAGCTTTCAGTACTAGGAACATTGTACAGGAAACGGCTGTGCGATATGTATTACACATACATTCATATTTGTGACTGGATGATAAGTTCCTTTCCTGCAACATAGTCACGGTAGCACTGAAGATAAGCAACAGCATCTGCAAAACAGTGAAACAGTATCATTTACTGGATAACGTTTTGGACACAATTTACTAACTCGACAACTTTCAAACGGAGTTTATATAGTCTTAGCTTTCTCTCCTTTCTTGTAATGATAAGGGTAGTAGGATTTCCAATATATCTGGGACAGGTACAGAATCATTTCTGTTGCATGTATTTGTTGTTCATTCGATGAACAAAGACACGATTATCAATCTCTCCCTCCACTCAACTAAGTTTTTAATATTGTCACTCTATCCCACCCTACTGTGTAATTGTGTGCAGAGTTATAACTGAGCGGCGACAACATTACTTCTTTATTAACTAGACATCATTTTCCTTAATGTAGTGTTTCTATGGCTCACCGAGCACTGTTGATTGAAACAAACGTTCCTTGAGGTCCCACCATGTCAGAAACGTCTGTCGGATAGTGGTAGGACAAAAGCAGCTACGACCTTAGTGTAAATATTTCACGTTATAGTAAGAATCTAATCCATAAAGCTGTACTGCTGCTTGTATGGAATTTTACACCAATAAAGTGCTTCTTGTGGATGAATGGCACTCCATGCTGGTGCTTTCCTCCGTATCGAAAGAAAGGGTTCGAAAAGTGAACACATATCTATTTGTCTTCCGGTCTACGCTGTACAGGCCTGGCTAGTCCAAAAAAATGCGAAATTAGTTACGAATTGAGAACTACGCAAAATATATTCTTAAAGTTGAAAAATTAAACAGTTACCAAACACAAAATTTAATAGCTGAAGAACACTTCCTTGTCATTTACCACAGCTATAAAATACACATATGTGTGTTCTCATATAAATTTATGTTTATACATTCATTGATATATTCTGTAGGCCTTATAGGGAATACCTTTTAGTGATTTTGAGTTGAATTTAGTCAGATAACTAGTATGTGTTGTCTAAGTGATGCATATGTATCACTGACATTATTATAATATCGAGGTTACTTGTTCAACTTTTTATCACTACAACTAGTAATCACAAATGTCTGCTTGTTTAAAAAAACCCAATTCGACAAACATTATTCAGTATGTACACCATGTTTTTTCTTAAATAAATATCTTTACTATGACAAGATCGCAAAAACCATACAATATCCAACCTGTCTCAGTTGTGAAGTTTCTCCATCTTCACGGAATGTTTTTAACTCACTACAGTAGCTGTAAGAGCATAACGATAAATTTACTTTAGCCGAAGTAGAGTACAGCAAATTAACACCTATTCAAGCGATTTTTATGCATATCAATCAGCTGATATCTTCTGTATGTGCACTTCCCAGTCCAGATATTGAATCATACAGTACTAAGCAATTTCTTAGTTTTCCTACGTTCAAAGCAAGGCGTTTGACGCATTTAAGATACTAAATTTAAGCAGTGCTTTATATCCGTTAGAAAGTTTGAACGATAGGAGGGAAATCAATTTTCAGTAGGTTTCATGGCTTTGCAGGGGTGAAGAGGTCAACTATCACAGGTACAAAAGATAAGGGAACAAACAGCAAATGAAACTCAAAATCACCGGGGAAATGTAACAAAAGGAGGTTATTCATAGGTAGGACTGATAAGTAAGGGAGTTGTTAGATTTAGTGAATGGAATTCCAAAAGTATTTGCTTGGAGAAAATCTAACTAAAGCGGTACTGTGGCTCAGTGGTTTAATCAGTTGGTTTTCTACGGGTAATTCTCAGCTTCGAACATAGCTCTACCTAAGAAAGTTAAGGAAACAGTTGTAACATCAGTCTTCACATGATTGGTGTAGCTGATTACCCAGGGTACTAACTGTTGCGTAGTTTCTGCGTTAAATTATATTTAAGGGGACAGATTTCGATCTGAAAATGTTGGTCAAGAAGTTTAAGAGGGAATTTATTATCCGGCTACTTTCTTATGTAATAGCAATACATGTTTTTTATTCCGACCCATGGTCTAGTTCACAGTACAGAATTCTCAGCACGAGGTTATTGAGTTAGCTCAATAGTTGTACAACATTTTTCAGATATGTATTAACAACGGTATTGGTTAACACTAAATTATAAAGAATAACAGGGTTATTGAAATGCTTAATGACATCAACTTCAACAAATTTGGTTCTTAAGACTGTTCCTTACATACTTTTTTATACAGTACATAAGCTAAATAAGGTTTAATTGGACTTTTGCCTGTTTTTGTACGTGGATAAAGCTAAATGTATTCACTTCTTGTCTTCCCTAAGGACAGACATGGTGAGAGCTGCAGACGCAGGAGATGCTTGCCATCGAGTAAATTATTTGTATCTACCTGCTAACAAGATTTAGGATGTTTTACGCAACCCAGTTTATCAGTACGGTTGGTGGTCTACCACTCACTCTACTGGAAGCAGTCAAATTCCTATACAATACAGCAATCCTTTTTCCGCAATCCAGGAATAAATAAAGAGCAATGATAAGTGCATGTGAGACAGTAATTAACGAGGTGTAAGTGAAGAGGCTGAATTATGTCCGAAAGTTAGTTTCCTTATGTAGATGGTCAAACGAAGAGTTTTCCTGGAAATCAGTAAAATATGAGGGGGCCAGGAAAGATCAGAAGAGAAGCATAAGCCGAGATGGATCATACTTAATTCATTCTCTACAATATAGTCATCAACAAGACAAGAGTCATGGAACTGAAACAGTTCCCACAGGTTTTGTTCTCGTCTTATTCTGAAAGTAACCATCTAACATTTGGAGGGATTAAGTGTGAAGTCACTCACGGAAGACAAGTGATCGATTTCGGTTAAGAAGTTACTAAACAGAACAATCTGAAGAGAAGACAAGGTTATCGGCGTATTTAACAAAGTTAGCTTTGGTTGGGGTAGGTAAATGATGCAAAAGAAAATAGGAAAGGAGAAAGCATAACACCTTGAGTCATGGCAGATTCACTGGGCAGAAAAGTAGGGTGAATCCCTAAGCATAAAGTCTAGCTGCCTTCCCTTAAAAAATCAAAAGAAGTCGGTTCACAATCCAGGACTCAACATGGGTTCTGATAAGCTTTTTTAATAAAACAGGTTTGAGGACAATCAGAGGCGGAATAATGAACAAAGAAAGCGGATCTAACATGGGTACCAACTTTTTCAAGACGCAATGATATTATAATATACAATGACTGTCACATCTAAATTTCGCCTTCTGAGTTTGTAGACAGATTGATTTGGATCTCTGAAAACCTCCAACAGCGGTTCAAGCACACAAGACAGGAATTCTTTCATTGTTTTTAGGAATAGTGTAGTTATCGCAACCGGTTGGGATTTCACACTTACTCAGGAGGACGTGTTATGATCCGCGGCATCTATAACGATTTAATGCTCCAACACGATACGATTAACGACAGAAAGATAACCCCTCATCTCGATATTCTGCTGACACCAGATGATGAAAATTAAATATACCATGCTATA